ACTCTCCTTTTTTTCCTGAGTCCCAGCAAGAGCTCCCCGTTCAGCCAGGCCGGTCGTCTTCCCCGCCCGTTCTTCTTACGGCGTACAGGGACAGCCTGCTCCTGCGCCTTTAAGACTTCCTTCTTGAAGATCATCCAGCCTTCCTGGACCCCTTTGCCCTTCAGGACCGTCTCCCACGGGACTCTCTCAACCAACGTCCTGAATAGGCCAAATTCTGCCCTCCGGAAGTCCATGGTTGTGGTTTTGCTGCTCCCCCTCAGAATGACTTTGTTTTAATCTTGTTCTTTCCTTGTTGTCTTTTGTCATTATGGAGTATGAAGGAATTATGTGTATTTTTTTTTAGCATTTTGTATGCATTTCAGCTGATCTGTCTGAAGTTATCCTGTCTGGTTATGTACCATTATACAAACACAACCTGAAAGAAGGAAACAAAGAAATGTGACAGTGCCAAAGATAACAGCAATTACAGAGGAGCTGAGTTATGACCCCACCATTGTTGCATGGGAAGTGGCTACTTCTCTGTCTACATCTTGACAAGAATGGCGGCTTCTTCTCAAAGTGAAGCTTAAGGTGCTAAAGGAAAACCTTAAACCATTAGGACCTGTTGCCTCCAGATCTAGTAAAAAGGTGGAATTGAGTGATTTATGAGGGACTGCCTTCACACCATTGGAGAGAGAGGCAAGGAAGGAGAGGCCACTTTTTGCAGCAAACAGCATGGAACAGGAATGCCAAAACATACCTGCCAGCGGGCTTAAGGGGAATGTAGTGTAAGATGCTGCTGCTGTTTTACATCTGTTTCTCTAGGAGATTAAAAAAATGTTAGGAAATAACTCAAAGTGTTGCAGCCTGTTTAGATGTGCAAGGTTAACAGCGTGAGCAGTTTTTGGTCCAGAGACTAGCTTGAGGAATGATCAAGTTGCAGGTTCTTAATCAAAAGAAGGTCACAAAGAGGATGCTTTGCTAGGGAAGTGGACACTGAAGGCACAAATGAAGAAGGGTTATGGAAGAGGTAGCCAGAGGCAGTATGACAGCTAGAGTGTAAGCCCTTTGGGGTCGGGTCTGTGTTTTTATGTATGAATACGGTGGCTGGCATGTTGGGAATGTAGTATCCCTGCTGTGTGCCAAATGTGATTTTAGCAGAATTTGCTAGGGCTCACCATTCCCCCATTAGCATCAACCAGTAAAATGTGCATACTTCTGTCACAGGACATAATCATAAAATGATGTTGTACAGCCTCCCGATTTAGATCAGAACAGTGTCTGCTCAGATTGGGTGCTACTATGAGACAAATCTTTCCTAATAATAGGGAGCTCATTTCTGCACTGTTTTTCTTTTATTGAGTGCTAAGGTCATAAGTAGGTGGCTTTACTTTCGATGTTATTCCAATATGCCAGTTTTTGCAATGAAAAGCTTGAATAATACTCATGGTGTAAGTCTGCCAATTTCCAGTTTTTGTTAGTAAACTAATGCCTGAAATAAGGGGAAAAAAAAAAAAGCCTTTTTCCAACTATATGCACAATATTTTCTTTTGAGTATGGTGTGCATTGGTACTACTAATGCACTTATTCATTAAGCTCTTCACTTTCATAAGATTTACAATTTGTATGTAGTAAAACACCATTTTATGACATATTTTTGATTTTTTTAGGAGAATATTTGACTCGTTGCAGCAAGCAGTAGTAAAGGGGAAGGGGGAGGAGCAAGATGTTTTTGTTAGAAAATATACAAGTTAAAAAAAGCTGGTCAGCTATATGCTTGACTGGTTACTGAAATGCTGGAAGAAATGTTACTAAGTGTGGAATTACATCATCTTTCCTCTATACACAGAAAAAGCCCAAGGAAATACCATTTGTCATAAGACCTACACTCCATAATCTGAAATGCCACTTTACTGCTAAGAGCAAAAGGATAAAAAAGAAACAAACAAAAAGCACACAAAAAACCCAAGAGCCTAAAGAAAGTAGTGGTGAACAATTCAAATTAAATCAGCTTTTTACTGAAGTAAAAAAAGGGGCAGGAGAAAAAAATCCCTCAGTTTATTTAATAATTACAGTTCAAAGAGAAGCAAAAACCAGTGCATAGACACAGAAGACTGTGCACATTAATGTTCCTTTATAATCTCCACAGCAAGTTATGATTATTTACAAAATCTGACACTAGAATAATAAAAATTCAGTTAGTGCCTTCCTTTGCCTGCACATCTGAATCCTGGTTCCTCTTCCAAGACTAGAAAAAAGAGCTTAGCGCAGGGGACTCCCACAACACGTAGAAAGGGAGAGGGGAGAGTAGCCTCCTCTCCCTCCAAAACCGAGGATCACGTAATGATGTCCATTTGCATCACTACAACAGTGACAGACCCGTGGTGATGTGTGCTTATTCCTTGCTTTCTGAATGACGTGTTTTGCTGAGGGCTCGGAACAGCCACAGACTCCGTGAGCCGGAAGCTGGACCTCAGCCAACTCCTTGAGGTAGCAGAAACAAAGCCCCTGCTTAGCTGAGCCAAAGCAGGATTGGTGGACTTTGTGCTAAGACTCACATTGTCCTGCGTTCCGTGGTGCAAACACTGTGTATTAGACTTTCTGCAGGCACGGAGAGAGAAAGAGATGCAACTTTCTCAAGCCTGGAGTAGGCTAGAGGGAGACAGCCACAAAAGCAATGGTTGTGTTTGTCTCAAAGGAACAGGCGGGATCTTTCTTGCTGCCTTATTTTCAGCAGTTATATACATTTCTGTGATGGACAAATGCAGATATTTTGTGAATCAGAGCTGAACACATAGCTTTAGAGTGAAAAAACAGATCAAGCCCTCTATGGTTTCTTGACCACCAGTGAAAAAACCCCAAACAATCAAATTTTATCTAGACAGAGGTTTAGTTAGTATTTCCACTGGGCAGTTAATGTGAATTGCTCCTGTTACAAACCATCTGCAGGGTTTTCACAAAGATAAGGTCTACAAGAGTAGAACACAGCACCTTTCTTGCCATCCATGATATCAGCACTTCAGAATATGCCTCTGGTGGACCTCACAGTGGCTGTGACTCATAAATCCATAGTAGTTCAGGACTTGCTAGCAGAGGGGCTGTTTTTCTCCACGAGTGGACCTCACAGTTGATTGTGACTCGTAAATCCATAATAGTTCAGGACATGCTAGCTGAGGAGCTGTTTTTCTCCATGTGTTGTACTCTCCCCTTTGCACGCACTAGAGATATTTCCAACCAATACACCCTTGTTTTGTAAGGAAGGAAATAGGTGGCAGGCTAGTCAGAATTGTGCTGCAGCCCACTTGAATTCCTAATGTTTCAGTGTCCTTTAATTTAAAAACGTAAGGAATCTTTAGAATTCAGAGTTCACTTTCCAGCTCTTGGCCTGAAATAGTTAATTCCTTAAACTACAGCTCGTGTTACAAAGCTGATTTGCAGGCATTTGATGGTGCTTTGAGAATGTGCTTTGAGCATGGAGAGACTTCTGGTTTTGTAAGAATTTTTGAGGTTTCACTGTTTTGTTGTTTCTTTTTTATGGCAGAGCAGCTAAGAGATGAGGATAAGTATCTTTTCTAGTGTTCAACCTAAAATATATAAATAATGAAACAGAAGTCTAGTGTCAGTACTGAGCATTAAAAGAAAAAAAGAATCTGTGGAAAGTATAGTAAGTTTTTTTTTTTTTTCTCCCTACCTAAGGTGCTTTACTGCTCTCCTAAAACAGGATATAGAAAAACTGTAATTAGCCAGTCAAAATATATGGAGTCAGATTACTAATGAAATGCTCATTTGGGACTAAATCCCGATCCTACTGAAGTCACTGGAAACAAAGGATGCGGAGAACCTCAGCTGAAATGCTCAGTACCTTTGACGACTGGGCCTCTCTTTCCAGAGAACTGGAAAGATATATTTAAGATTCGCCTGCAGAGGAAGTCATAGCATGACAAGACGAGGATGGCACCATTCAGAAGGGCTGTCTTGGATGGAAATAGCAGTTGCTCTGATTATAGCTTCCCTTCGTTCTTCCAGGTGTGTCTGCTCAGCTGACCAGCACTCGTCTCCGTCGGAACACCTCCGTGGGCACCCCGTTCTGGATGGCTCCAGAGGTTAGATTCATGTTTCAAAACATTTTGTCACTGGTATTTGAGCTGCCACATTCTGCATTTCTGTTCTTTCTTTGTCTTTCTTCCTGACCACTGGACCTTTCACCACATGAAATAGCAATGTCCTTTAAAAAAGTGGTTTAGACCTTTTTTCTTACATGTTTGCAAGGATTAAGTTACAATGGGGTTTATTTTTGAAATGACAAGGTTAGAGCCAGAGATCAAGATGTTGAATTGCTTACTAAATTGTTAAAGAGGAGAGAGTACTACCATTGATCCTTTCCAGCCTTCCAAGCTCTGAAACTATAGCTGTCTCATCTCCCCATGGATGGAAGGAGCCCAGGGTGGTACTGTGATACGTTATAGCTTTTATTTTTTGATTTCTACACCTGGAAAGTTTTTAATACTATATATCAATAGCTGACAGCAAGAAATGGAAGAGGTTATTATGAATAAATAAGATGTACTATGTATCTTTGGAGATTTTTCCAGCCTGAAATTGAAGCATATAAAGATATATTTTAAGCTGAGGCAGGAAAAATATTTTGTTATAAATAAGCCTATGTACTTACACTATTTGTATGCACAGAAACACATGCATATACATCTATTTATAGCACATGAAACTACTCTGTTTATACACACATATTTTTATAAACATACTCTGTTTATACACATTGGTCTAGCCATGTAGCTAATGGGATACACATTGGTTTAGACCTGTAGCTAATGGGATGAAAAATTCTAGATTCATCGGGCATTGTGGATGAGCTGAAATGCATATGAAATTAAATACATTTGCTGTAAACCAGTGGCAAACACATTGTCGAGAAATTAGCTTGGTCTTGAAATTGGCTGATTTGGCTGAATAAGGACCCAGTAGGAGACAGTGAATTCAACTTCTGCTTTCTGGCTTGTTTCACTTCATGGAGACAGCAGTATAGCTCCATTAGTTATTTTGCAGGAATAATCCATAGAAAAGAGATTTAGGGTTGTTGAGTTTCCTTCTACTTCCCTCAGCCATGGGATGCAGTTTACCACCTTCAGCTGAAAAAGCAAAGGATTTGCACCCTTTTGTCAGATCAGGGAACATCTGGTGAGAGAACCTGGTGTTCACAGAGACCTGCTTTCTCTAGTTTAAGCATTGCTTATTTTCAGCAACAGGCTGCTTTAGCTTGCTGAATGTGTGCAAGTCTGTTTATTTCACCCAGTATGTCCATCCTGTAAGAGATTCCCCCAGCTGTGGATGTACTCTTAAATTCAGACATTTGACCATCCAGTGACCATCCCAGTCTTTTACTCCAACAGGTGATTGCCTGTGAGCAGCAGCTAGATAGCTCCTATGATGCCAGATGTGATGCATGGTCACTGGGTATTACTGCAATAGAATTGGGAGATGGAGATCCACCCCTTGCTGATTTGCACCCTATGAGGGCACTCTTCAAAATACCAAGGTAATATCTTGACGTGTTTATTTCTTGCCAGGTTAGACAACTTTTTCCTTAACTGTTACTTTCTTCAAACTTAGACTGTTTAAGTATGTACAGTTTCTTCATATTATTTATACTAAGAGGAAGCTAGAAATTGTCCAGCTGTATTTTCTGCCTGCTCTGGTTCAGCCATGTGCGCACATCGAGAAGTTCAGAGCTGATCATGGCTACATTTGAGAAAAAGCCATAAGGCCTTCTCCTGAGTGGACTGCTGCCCAATATACATGAGCGCAGGCCTCAGCTGAGTCCCGTATATTCTGTTACAGAGAATGACTTATGATAGAAATACAGAGTCTGAGTATGCCACTGTGGTGAACAGGCCCCATACCGGTCCTCAAGAGTTATCCCATGTCCTTTGAAGCAAAAAGTGTTGTTCCACCACTCACGTACATTTAGGCTGCCACCTTTCATTAGCTTGTGCTGGTCCTGGCAGTTCCAGTGCTGCTGTCCTCGGGCAGTGCAAATAGCAACTTCTTTCACGTTTTCTTTGAAGCTGGAGATAAAAGTACCCAAAGTGCCACTTACAGCGTTTCAAAGAACATCAATCTCAAAGTCTGTAGGGGCTGATCATACAGCAGTTTGTGGATTTCGCTCTAACAGATGAAGTAGTACCACAACAGTTGAGACCACATAGTATACCTGAGTGCTTCAAGTCCTTTTCAGCCAAGTCACCCAAATTAGATTAAATTACCTTCAGGTTTAAGAAATTTTGGCTGACTTGGCACTGAAGGAAAGCATGAATGCTCTTCTCACCTTTACTTGGTATGGGGAAAGCAGTTGCAAACTGCTGTAGTCAGTAATTTCAGCTAGTCCTTCAAAAAAAAATCTGGCTTATACCCTTACAAATATTGGGCACCTACCCTTTCTGCCCTGGGGCAAATATAATACCCTTTCATTTCACTAAGTGAAACCTGAAAGTGGTAGAGTAAACATTAAGCAGCACTTAAACAAAAGCAGTTATGATGATTAATCAAAAATAGACAGAAGAGGCACCTCATCTATAGGTGACTCCTTTTGTCTTCATGACTACATTCAGTGAAAACGGCACCTCTGTTTGAACGGAAGAAGACTGTTAAAACAATTTGAACCAAATTAACACCTAGAATAAACAGATCTAACTCAACGGAAAAGAAAGAAAGAATTTACACTAGGTCTGTATTTAGTCCTTCACTTGACTTCTGATTATCTTCTGATGAATGAGAAATAGTTAATAAAGAGCTAGTTCCTTCTGACACTTTGCTCAGCAAGTTGATTAATTCAGTCCTTCTGGGAAAACTTAAAATAGAATTTCTTTCAAAAAATACTCTTAAGAAAGTACATTGTTTCAGGCTTGAAAAGAGAAACTTGCCATTACAAGTGAATAGTGATTAATGGGTTGTTAGTTTCATTTCCGTTTATTGATTTGATTGAAAAAATTATAGTGATTCTTAGCTATGCTTGGTAGATCATCTCCATGCTATTTCTCCTTGTTAGTTATGTAAAGTAGGAGAACCAGTGAGGCATTGTATCATCTACCCATGCTCCTTTTACCAGTGGAAATCAATATCTTTTTTCAGTAGCCTTCTAAAACTCATTACTCAGCCTGCCTTCACACATTGTTTTTGTCAAGCTTATTAACTTATCATCACACTGACCTTTGCAGGAATCCTCCTCCAACACTACAGCAGCCTGAACTGTGGTCACCTGAATTCAATGACTTCATTAAAAAGTGAGTAACAACTGAGACCACTGTAGCTGAGTATGGAACATGTGTAAATGTCATGTGTAAAATACCTTTGTATTCTCTGTGGAAATCTGTTGCTACTAATATTTTTCTGTAAAAACCTAGTTTGTAAATCCAGTTTGACTTCAAAGTGAGGCTCCAGATTTAAAACATGAAACAACAACATTTAAACACCTTTGATATTTCTGTTTTTCTTAATTTAGAGAATATTTAGTTTTTAAATGCAGTAATTTAACTTCTTGGCCTCATCCATTCTGCGAAATCTTGCAGTTTTCAGTACAGAGCTGTTGTGATTAAGATGGGTGTATTTATTATGGAGGTATGAATGAACTACAGACAAGCATTTCAAAACTTAACAGCGATCCCTCAATGATCATATGCTTTTTCTGCCAGCACAGGTGCTTGACTAAAGATTATGAGAAGCGTCCGACAGTGTCTAGTCTTTTGCAGCATGATTTTATTAAGCAAATTGAAGGAAAAGAAAACGTGCTACAAAGGCAACTCATGGAATTTATTGATGTTCATCAACAAATGGGAGTCACTGAAAAGGCAAGGTAAAAGTAGCTAAAAAGTAGACCAGTTGGGACAATTTTGATACTTTCACTGTTTCAGAATGGCTAGCATTCAGAGAAACATTCACCTCTCATAACTTTAGCTGGTCAAAAAATAGGGACCTTAATCTTTGGGGTACCCTATAGAGCCAATGCAAAGAGAGGGGCATCATGATTCACACGTGGGATGAAACAATCTTTAGAAGTGCCTCCCCTTTCTCCTGTGACTCAAGATGCAGATTAGATTCCCAGTTTTCAGAAAGCTAAAGTTAGGGGAAATTAATGTCTGGCATTTTCTTACATTGGCATTGTCAGCTAATGTTTAGTTTAAGCAAGTATGCTAAAAAGTAATTAGTCAGGTTCCTGCAAGAATTGGATGCTATCGACTGAAAGAAGTGATAGTGGTACCAGACCTTGTTTTGCAAACTTCAAATCTTATGTCTTATTGAATAGATACTTTCTTTCTTCCACTAGTATTTAGTAATATCAATTCTGTATAAGTCACTTAGCACCTGATGGCTTTTATTTAAAACAACTGAAAATGGCTTGGCTCAATTTTACAATTTAAAAAACCCCACCCAGTACACTGAAGTAATGTATCAGATGTGAAATGTAGTAGAAGATTAGTATTGATGTACTACTACTGGTGTGACTTCTCCTGTGCTTCAAGGTAAAGGATGACTTTTTTTTTTTTTAAACGGAACATAAAATTTAAAAGACATTTCGGCATTATCATCTATATGGAAAAAGCTTACTAAGATCTGCCGCATTTCCTTTCACACATATTTATAGAAACAATATATACGGCAGTCTTCAGTTCTGATCTTGGAGAATTTTCTATTTACTCTATCCTTTGAAGATAATAAAAAATATATTTCTAAATAATTTGTGATTTTCAAGTTTTCTTGGACTTTGTGTAAGTGGATGTGGGATGAGTAGTAGTTTCTCTTTTCTGGTATTTCAGTAAAAACCTATGCAGTTGACTTAAATTTAAGCCTCAGACTGGATTTGTATGTTCTTTGTGGTGCAGACTTGACATTTGCTTAATCCAGAAAGATTCTGGAATTGAAATAAGCTTATCAGATGTCAGTTTTGAGCACTAAAACAACAACGTACTCCAGACTTCAAAAAGTATTTCTTTATAAAACACAGGGAAACGATATGTGGTAAAATAAGTCCAGAACACTAGATTGTATGAATTTGAATCCTGATAACGCTTGTGACACTGGTCTTTTGAAAGCCTAAATAATTTTTGAAAATCAAGCTTCTAAATCAATTAAGTATCATGAGCTTTTTTACCCATTTTATAGAACTCATGTTTGTTTTCTATCAAGTCCTATTTTTTTTTCAAAATCATTTTTTCCACGTAAATGCTGCATAAAGCAAATTACATGAGCTTTTTCCCTATATACAATACAAACATAAAGTGGCCCAGTTTACGTGTGCATAGAGCAGTCGAATGGCTATTTTTTTTTCAAAATCATTTTTTCCACGTAAATGCTGCATAAAGCAAATTACATGAGCTTTCTTTCCCTATACAATACAAACATAAAGAAAGTGGCCCAGTTTACATGTGCATAGAGCAGTCGAATGGCATAGGAACAGGATGATCTATTGGCACTTTCTGCATGCTGTTTAGACTGTGTTCTATTAACTGATCACTCTTCATATGAACCAGAGTTTAAGGGAATGTATTACTATGTGATGAATTTACCTATGCTTTTACAGTTGATCAAGTGTAATTTCTACATAAATGTTCCCAAAGGAAGATGGAATTTTCTCTCTGAAAATAATAATAATTTATTATCGGAATCTGCCAAAAAAATTACTTATTTAACTAAGGGTGTAATTTAAATGGCATGGTTAAACTAGTAGCTTGGTGTGTAGTGTCCATATTTCAGATTAGCAGTTCAAAATACTAACAAGTAGGCTGATACTAATTTAAATCTCATTTGCATTGATATAAACAAATCTTTTCATATCTGAGATCAGTGAAGGGAGTATGAAAGACTGCAAGTAAAAATCACATTTTACAGTCACTGTACCTATAATCACTTCAGCTTTAACACATTTATTGACTACATTTGCTGGAAGATTGTCTTTCATAGCAGTGAATGCATAAAAAGGTTAGCCTTCTGCTAAAAACAGTAAGAATACCCATCTTAATATCTATTGCTATCTCTGTACAAGCAAGAAAAGCAGTCATTATTTTCCAGTAGCTGAAATTGTAGTAAAGTACGTGTATCATTTCACTTTAGAAGAAATTAGAATTCCAGGCCTGTAAAGGACATTATTACAGAATGGCATTTGTTTTTTCTTCTGTTGAATGATAAAAAGATTCTACAAAGATCTTTGAATTCAGTAGTCACACTTTTTTAAAAGTCTTTAAATACTAATCATATGTATCTTCTGACCTTCAGTCTGCACAGGGCAAATGGTGTCAACAGAAGTCTGTACAGAAGTACCATGTAAATCTGATTCAGAGTCAAGCCATAGGCTGTGTAGTGACAAGTCACCTGGAAAAGTCTCATCTTAAAATCTCCTGGCTTTCTTTTCTTGATTATCCTTTTCTGGGACTGTTTGTACACTGGTGTGTTAGGGCCCTACTGTGGAATCCCTGAACTTTCACCAGTTGCTGGCAACTTTCCTTGTAAAGCTCCCTCCTGATCTCCAGCTCACGCTTTCTCGGTCCATAATTTGAAGGCATAGTTCTCCTGTTTGTTGGCACTGGGAGGCAGGTATTAAAGAACCCTTCCTTCCACCGAGGCAAGAAATCGTCATACCTGTGTCATGTTGTATAAATGGGCATGCCATACACACTCAAGAAATTTGGTAATGTTGACTTAAAGCTGAAGGTAAGGAATCCAGTTATTTTCTCAGTATGTGTTTCCCTCTTCAAATTACACTTTATTAATAAAAATTTTGTATTTCCAAAGAAAAAAGTAAAATGCCTGGAAGTTAATAGCTGAGGTCCAGCCACTGAGTCTTCCTGTGTGCGCTATTCCTGTTTTCACTCAAAATCAAATCACCCTCTTTGCCTAGCATGCGGAGGTGTAATTTGGCTCTGCCTGCCTTCTGCAGTGGTAGTCTGTTGTGGTTGTGATCCTTTCTTGTTGTTTGCTGAATATGCAGTTGGTATAGTTTGGAAAGAAGAGACCATGTTAGGTTATGTCATATTCTCTGGGGTTTTTGCAGAAGACCAGATCCTCAGATCCAATCTTTGTGCACCATGCCGGCTCGGGAAGGGTGTGTGATCTCTAGGCATGGAGTGGAGCCACCCTACAGTCACCATTAGCACCATTGTGCCTGAGGTATTTTCTAACATTGACAAGTCACTGAGTCATTAGGGCATTGCACTGGGCCCTCTGAACCTTCCCATTATTGTTACCATTCTAGTGAAGAGGAAACTACTTTTAGACTATTGTGCTGCATCCTTTGCAAACACCTAGCAAGAGGAACAGAGCCCACCAACCTCCTGAGTAACCAGAGAAATCTCAACTTACACTGACAAAACTTTTAAACAGCAATATGCCGTAGATCTGCTCCAGACTTAATGAAGGTGATGGAAGATTGTACTGTTTTTTCAGTAGCCTCTGAACAGAGTCTTATAGCACTAACACGTCCTGTGCTACTTGAGGCTCAAAAAAGCATGAATACTAGCAATGAGCTTCATTACAAATTCCACTTTTTGACTTTGAGCAAATGCAATACATTCTTCTCTGAAGTCATGACTTCTTTATGCTAAAAAAAAGTGTTTGCAACTTAACCTTTCCTAGCTCAGATCTCAGGTTGAAGAAATTATGATGGGAGGAGCATGAGAAAATGTCCCTTGATATATTAATATTTTCCCATAACATCTTGACTGAAACGTCTCTAAAATGTGCTTTTTGGAATGATGAAGTAAGCTATGGGAGATAAGTTCATGTTAGGGAGGAGGTGAAGCCAGCAAAGTTGCATACTAAATGTATTTAATTCGTGGCTTTGTTGTTTAGCATTTGGGTTCTCACTGAACTGTGAATTCCTGGTGAGTGGAGTCACTTTCAGGACAAGGGCCTTGGGCTCCTGCAGGAGTTACCTTTATCATGGCTGCGGCAAGAAAAGCCTGTTTCATTATGCAACTTCATAAGGTGGTATTTGCCTCTTTTTAGAGAGGTTCATGACTCATAATCATCTTGATACTTCTTTTCCCTCAGTCTTTTCAAATTGATGAACTTTCAACTAATAGAAAAAATTCTGTTACATCCTAGTAGTATGATCTTGAGGTTTTATACAAATAAACTTCATCCCATTATCTGTTATTCCAGTCCTCAGGACCACCTAGCTCTTTAAATATAGTATTTCAATTCTTTTCTGTGTTGACAGTGACACAAAAAGCATGAAAATGGAATTTATTGCACAATCTTCAATGAAAATAAGACAAATTCTCTAATGAAGAAACAATCTCATTGGAGCCTGATCATTCACCTTTGAACACTGCTTAAGTTTCCCCCATTTTTAGCCAATCCCTCAATCACATACTTACATTCTTGTAAGTCACATTATAGCTGTTAAGATTTATAATTAGTGATGAAAATAATTATTAGAAATGAGTGCTGCATCATATACCCAAAAACCGTTCTAAAAATACACTTCTTGCTAGGCCAAACGAGGGTAAAAAACCTGCATTGTAAAGAGTTTTACTTTGCAACAGAAATAGCTGTCTTTGAAACGGCCTTCAGAACTGTCGCATCTACACCTGACAGTGAGGCTTGTAAGACTTTTATCTTGAGTTGTTTGGCTGTCTTAATCTTGACTGCTTTTACAATAGTCTCTGCAGAAATATGCAATGATTAGTACAATGTGTATTTCCTGGGAATTATGACTCATTCCAGAACAAGCTGCATATGCGAGGGATATTCACTGCACCTAGATTTCAGCAACTGACTCTGGTCCCCAGGTTAAGAGACTCATCTTTATATGCCCTCTAAATAAATATGGGAAAGAGACCCATTCTACTGCAAAGT